GGGGAGGGCAGCAGGGTGGGAAGCGCAGCCTTTGCAACTCAGGGTTTGCAGCTGGGCAGGGTTGAGAGTTTCCCACCCCTTTTGCAAACAGCTCTTGTAGGCTGGAACTCAGCCAGGCTGCAGAGCTCTTTGCAAAAGGGGGAATCCGCAGGTTTCTCTTCTAAAAGGCAAAATCCACGTTTTCTCTGATAAAAATGGGAAATCCGTGGTTTTCTCTGGTTTTCCATGGGAAACAGAAAACCCAGATCCCTGGTAATCAGTGAGGTGTGTCCAGCCCCTGTGATGTTAGGCTCCTTAGGGCATCTGCTCACTCTAACTTATTAAGGAGAGGTAGTTAGCTGTTCTGGCAGAAGGCATGGTTGAGATGCACCTTATAGACTGACTAAATCAGAGAGGTGTTTCTGAGCCTGAACTCCCATTGTCATCAGAGCCTGTCATCTCTACTGGCGCACCTCTGCCTGGGTCTGCCAGGAGCGCCTCTACCTGCCTTCTGCCCCTGTCCTATCTCAGCTAAATGCTTGTGTGACCTATGCCTGAAAACCTCCCTGGATGCGGTTGCCCCAAGCCCCCAGGTAACCCACTGCAAGGCTCCACTCCAAGAAATGATCTACCTTTATTTTGCTGGTTGCTTCTGGAGCCAGAAGGGACTTCTACCCCTCCCTGCCCCTATCTACTGCTACATGTATCAGGAACAGAGAGTGTTTGGGGATTTGGGGGGATTTTTTGGCCTTTTTCAGCAGCTGGGTGTTGGTGGCAGCCGGGGCTGGGGCTGGGGCTGGGCTGTGCCAATGCTCCTACTGGCACCAACCCCGCAGGGTCCTGGCTGGAGGGTCGTGCCCCTGCGCTCAGGCTCAACCCAATGTTGCACTGGGACAGGAAGGGATTTCCCCCTGCTCACACTGGTCCATGCTGGGGGGTTTCACTTTCCTCTGCAACCGGAGCACAGCCCTGCCTGGGGTCTCAGGAGTGTATTAACCCCCTGTACAGCAGCAGGACCCCGTGGCCCCCTGCTTTCCCCGGGGCAGGGGCGGGGGTGACGCCTGGGGCTGTGTCAGGGTGATGGTGTCATGCTGCTCCAATCTTGGACACAGGGTTTGTTTGGGCTGGTTTGGATGGGGCTGATCCTGCCTCAGGCCGGGCTTGGATTAAACATGACCCCCCCAGATCCCTGCCAGCCCCACAGCTCTAGGAGGCTATGACATGCATCCCCATATGCAATTAGATATTTTTGCAATAATCTTACACTTGTGGCTCAGTCAACATGTGATTCCCCTGTTGTGCTCAGGTCCTTTTTATGCAGTACAGCTGTTCCCCACTTTGTGTCCAGTCACTTGACTTTGCACTTGTCTTTACTGAACTTCATCCAGTGTTTCTGAGACTCTTTCTGCAATTTATTCAGGGCCTTGGGAACCCTAGTCCTGTCCTCTCAGACCTCTGCTGCTTCACCCAGCTCTGCTCCGTGTGCGCCCTGCTCCACCTGCCAAGGTATTCATGAGGGCACTGAGCAGCTCTGGGCCTGAACAGGGCTGGGGCAGCGCCTCCCCCCACTTACACATGGGCCACTGATGATGCTCTGTGAGCACCCTGCCGGCTCCTGGTCACGGGTATCAAAAAACAACAGCAGCATCAACACTGCCGGCTCCAACCCTGCTCAGGTTACAGCCGCCCCGCCGCTATATAGAGGGGCTCGGCGCAGAGCCCTGGGCACAGGTACCCAGGGGAGCTCGCTTGGTGTCTGCATACCGCGCAGAGCAATGGGGAACAGCGGCTTCTCTCTCCTCACCCTGGCATTGGTGACTCTTGCTGCTGCAGCACAGGAAAAGGTACGGGGGCACGCTGGTGTGGCGCGGGGTGGAGGGGTCTGTGCTGCCCCGGGCTGGTGCGGGCAGTACCTGGGGGCTACGCTCACTCTGCATGCGTACATGTGGAGCCATGTGGTGTGAAGCATGACTGGGGAGGCCGTGTGTTGGGTCTGGTGGCTCAATGCAGAGAGCAGGTGCCAGCACCAGTGGGAGAGCACGAAACCCGTGCCCAGCGTCCTGTGTTGGGGCAGGCAGCTCGGAGCCCGCGAGGCAGCGGGGCTCTCACCACTGAGTGCTGCTACCCTGGAGCCTCCTGGGTGATCGCAGAGGGGCAGGGAGCGCAGTCCGGCAGCGAAGCTTTGGCACAATCCTCCCAGCGAAGCGGGGGGGTGATGCTTCCCTTGGCTCCTGGGGTGCCTCTGTGGCCCTGGCCAGTACCGGTGGCTGTGCCAGGGGCTCTGGCTCTGTGCACCAGGCTCCTGCAGGTCATGGAGCCCCTGTGGTGCCAGTGGGAGGGTCTGGCTCTGCCACGCGCTGGGGTCAAACCCATTGCCAAGCCCAGGGACCATGGCATTGGACTGACAGGGTCACAGGGTGGGGGTTTCCCTCCCTCAGCTCTAAGAGAGAGGCCGGGTCCCTTCCCAGGGCCATTTCGGCACCTAATCCAGGGAGTCTCCCAGGGCTGCTGGCCTCACTTGCTCCGGGTGCTGGTGGCCACGGCAGGAGTGCAGGGCTGGGGGCAAGCTCTGTGCCTCAAGCTCCAGGGCCGGTCTCCCCACTCACCCCATCCCTCCATTCCAGTGCGCCCTGTCTGGGACCTGGACCAGCAGTCGGGGCTGCCGGATGCTCATCTTCGAACTCAAGGGCGGGGCCTTCTCCGGCTTGTACCTGCCTCAGGAGGCAATGGTCCCCTACCACAATGTCCTGGCGTCGCCACTGCGGGGGGCCCAGCACGACACCAGTGGCAAGGCCCAGCCCAGCTTCGGCTTCACCGTGCACTGGTGTTTCCGAGGTACGGGGCCCGGCTGCCTCTGGGCTGGGGCACACGGGGCAGGGCGCTGCTGCTGGAGATGGTCCCTTCACCTGCTCCATACCTGCAAAAGCTCCTGCCTCTGAGCCGGTCAGTCTCCGAGATGTCACCTGCCCTGTAGGGCTGCAAATGGATGCAGCTGCCCCCTCAGCATGCTGCAGCAATGGCTCCTGGCAGAGCAGGGCAGCGTGGCCGGCGGCCCCCACCTCCTCCTGGCCCATGATGCCCACACGTGGGAGGGCATTTTGCAGAAGGTGCTTTCCCTCACGGCCCAGCGGCCAGGCTCCCTCATGCCGTGCGTGCAGGTGGCCGCATGCAGCTGGGCCACGCCCGCAGAGCAGGGTCTTGTCCCACATCCCTTCCCGGCCCCGGACTGCCCCATCACCCTTTGCAAGGAAAGTCCCTGGCACTGGGCTCACTGCTGTCCCCACCAGGCCCCGGCCCTTCCCTGCCTGGACGCACCGGAGCCGGGACTCAGGGGTTGCATGGGAAAGCACAGCCCCTGAGCACCTGCAGGCTGGAGCCAGCGGGGCTGGGGCAGGGCTGGTGTCACCCCCCCCCCACACGCACACACAAAAAGCCATGCTGATGCCTCTGTGCACCCCGGCAGAGTCCCCGGCAGGGGCGACGACCGCCTTCGTGGGCCAGTGCTTCGTGGACAGTGATGGGCAGGAGATGCTGAGGACCGCATGGCTGCTGCGGGAGGAGGCTGCTGCTGCCAGAGATGATTGGAAAGCCACCAGGTGAGATCCCTGCCCAGGCCCCGGCCCCAGACCACAATGCTGCCCAGGACGGAAAGACAGGGACGGGGCCCCTGGCCCTGGCTGGAGCCGGCTCTGGCCTGACCTCCCGGAGCAGATGTGGTTAGCCGGGTGGTGCTGGGCATGGCCACATGTGTGCCCACGCCTCCCCACCATGGCGATGGGCACTTGGGGAGCGCAGGCAGCCGTGCCTCCCCGTGCACACACCAGAAGCACCAACCACAGCCCCGGCACGGCCCATCACTACGGCATCGTGCCTCCCCACAGGGTCGGCACCAACGTCTTCACCCGCGTCAAGTGAGGGAAGCAGAGGACCCTGAGGAGCGACGGTGCAGGAGGGCTGCAGCCCCACAGAGCCAGGCCGCAGCACCAGGGCCCTGGGCCCCGGATCCTGAACCACCCTGAGCCTGTCCCCAGGCTGTTGGGGCTGCGCTGACTCTGGCGTCTCCCTCCTCTCGGCCTCCCCCCAGCACTGCTCCTGCCCCCACGGGCCGTGTCCCCGCGTGGCAATGGCTCCAGCTGCAGACGTGTCTCGTGTCACTGTTGCTCACGCTCCAGCCCGGCTCAGCCCCACCTGCCCCTTCCCCGCTGCCCCAAGTGTGCTGCCTTCCCCCCATAAACCAAGGCTGTTCGGGGGCACCTGATTTGCCCCTTTCCTCACCTGGCAGCAGAAACATCACCATTTCTGGGGCTCTTGGCGACATCGGCACCAGGCCTTAAATAAACGCATTCGGGTGAAGCCTCTGGCTGTGCTGCGAGTTCCCCCCACGACCCCGCTGCACCTTGCCCTCAATGGGGGCCCAGGCTGGGCACGACCGTATCCCTGCCGCGGTGAGCACTGGGGCCAGGTCCTTCCCCTGCCGCACCAGCCCCCTGCTTCTCCGGGGAGAGCTGGAAAGGCCAGAGCAGGATCTTCTACAAGCACCAAGGTCTTGTCCCTGCCGTGGCCACTGGCCCAGGGTCCTGCTCACTGAGGACCTGCTGCTCCAGGACCTCCACCGCCTCTTCTCCTTCCCTCGAGTCCCAGGGAGGTGCCTGCTTTCCCAGCTGGGGTGCAGCAACCTGCTCCCGGCGCTGCCAAGGCAGTAGCAACACGAGCTGTGGAGCAGGATTTGGCCTCTGACCCTGAGCATCCTGCCCAGAGCAGTGGGGTCCTGCGGCCAACGGCTGGGATGGGATTGTTCGTCCATCCATCCATCAGGGGCCTGCACGTGCGAGCCCAGCATGATTTGAGCCCAGCAGCTCCGGCATGTGCTAGGAACAGGTGCAGCCACCCCCCCACCCCCATGTGAGCCCTGGCACAGCCCGTGCTCCAGCAGGGCTCTAATGTTACCATCTGGCCACCTGTCCCGCTCCAGAACAGGTCACAGTGCCCTGCCAGGGAGCCCAGACCCGAGGCACTGTCCCAGGAGTTCGCAGCACAGTACCCCCCCCTCCCCCCAGCACCTGCTTGCACGTGACCCCGGGAGCCAGGTGAGCCCCTGAGAGCTCTTTCCCAGGGGCATTTGCCTCTGGGCCCCGGAGAGGCAGCAGGCTCCCCTGGAGTCCCAGGGCCTGGACAGATCACCGTTGTGCCAGCGACTCTGCTATGACACCAGCTAATTCCCTAAGTACCCTAGGATGAAAATCATCAGGGCCTGTTGACTTAAATACATTCAACCCCTCCAGCTGCTCCTTTACTATGTCAGCACAGCTGGTGGGCTGGTCTCTATACTAGGCTTACCTAAGGTCACAATGGGATGTACACTTGTATTTGTGCAAGAATACGGATGCAAAGAAATCATTTAGAAGCTCTGCTTTGGCCATCCTGTTACCAGTTGTCCTAGTTCGTGCAGAAGGGGCCCTAAATTACCCTGCACCTTCTTTTTGTTTCCTATGTACTTAAAGAATGACTTTTCGTTATCCTCTTTTGCTGCCAGCCTAAGCTCCGTTTCGGCTTTGGCTCTCCTCACTGCTTCCCTGCAAGCTCCAGCCAAGCAGGTGAAATCCTCCTTGGTGGCAGCCCCGTTTCCACAGCCTGCAGACCTCTTTTTTTCCCTCCAGGTTCTCCTAGATTTCCCTGCTCCACCAAGAGGGTTTCTTTGCTCTTTTACCCCCTTTTATGCGTACTGGGATGGTCCTTTTCTGTGCCTGCAGGATTAGTCCCTTAAGAAATGCCCACCCTTCCTGGGCTCCCATGTCCCCAAAGCTTTTACCAGTCAGTCCCTCCCTAACTAATCTCCTGAGCTTGTTGAAGTTGGCCTTCCTGAAGTCTAGCACTTCCACCCTGCTAGTTATCTTCCCCCTTTCTCCAGATAGTGAACCCTATCGATAAGTGGTCCCTGTCCTCTAGGTTACCTTGCACCTGCAGATCCCGCATAAGGTCGTCCCCTGTGGCCAGCACCAGGTCGAGCAAGGCATTTCCCCTAGTGGGAACGTGTACCTGCTGCAATAGGTGAGGGTCCTGTAAGGTTAGAACTTCCATGAATGGGCAGACCTGGCTGCCTGTTTCTCCCAGCAGATGTCTTGGAAGTTAAAGTCACCCATGACGACCGGTTCCTTTGCGCGCGCGCTGCACTGCCTCCGAGAGCGGTCTCGAGAATTCTAGGTCTAACTCGTCCCCTGGTGCGGGGCAGGGCACGGCCTCAAATCCCTGCAACCCCTGAGGCTGCTCCTGAGCCCTGACGCCTGGGGATGCACAGCCCCAAAGCCAGAGCACAGGCGCCAAGTGTTGAATCCCAGAGCAGGGGGCTGGAGGGGACCCAGACCTCACAGCTATTCTAGCCCAGCCTGAGGCAGGATCTGCACCATCCAAACCAGTCTAAACTCCTCGTAAAATTGCTACAAACCAGGACACAGCCCAGGCATCGCCCCCACCTGTCCCCCCAGGAAAGCAGTGGGACCCTGCATGCCCCAGGCCTGGTGCTGCTGGGCCAAGCCCACGCACCCCTCGGCAGGGGTGGGAGATCCTTGCCCTGGCCCCAGCGGAGGCTACAGGCACTGGCTCAGCATGTGCAGGGGCTGACCAGCTGTCGCATGTATGTGTGTATACATGCCTGAGTGTGCATGCCTGTGGGTACACACACACGCAGGGGTGCTGCAGGCTCTGCCCTGTAGGGCAGGTGGGGGGGGCAGGCCCAGGGGGAGGTGAAGCAGACAGCTCAGCCCAGGGGAGCAGGCCGGGACCAGAGTGCAGGTGGCCACAGTGCAGGACCCAGGTCTGCTGTGGCAGCAGCCAGAGCCGAGCCCCTGCAGCAGTGCTGCCCTGCTCCCCGGTGCCACGGGGACCTGCCCCCCGCCCCCCCACCCCGGGCCCTGCAGAACCTGCCCCTCCTCCCCAGCGGCAAGCATGTCCCTTCTCCCAAGCCAGCAACCCAGGAAGGCTGCACAAGGCCTTCTCAGCCTGGACACAAGGGTGCAAGCTCACAGCATGTGACCTCCTTTGCATCCTGAGCAGTGGAGGAGGCTGGTGCTGCCCTGGGAGGCCGAGCCCGGCGCACTGGAGGACCCCATGGAAGCTGCAGCCTGTTTGGGCCTGGCCCCAGGGCTACTGCTGCTGCTCCTCCCAGGCAGCAGCTCTAGGAGCAAATAAGCCAGGATACAGCTGGGGATCGCTTTATTGGCGCTTCATTGCAAGGAAGGGGGTGGTCCCTGCAAGCCTGGCATGGCCAGCCCCTATGGCTCACCAACACAGCTGTCTATGTACAAGCAGGAAAGGCCATGGCTTTGGAGCTCTGGGTTTGCCTGGCCTGAGGCACAGCCCCTCCTGTGCCCCAGGGTCTCCACAGTGGCCCTGGCACCTGGACCAGCAGGAGCCAGGCAGTCCCTGGGAGTAGCAGGCACAGCACCATACAGGGACCTCCCAGCCCAGCCACAGTGCCCAGGCCAAAGGGGTGGGGTGGGGTGGGGTGGCTGGAAGTCAGAGAAGAGAGGTACCCCAGTCCAAATTTTCTGGGACATGGCCAGTAACCAGGAGGAGGGTGAGAATACTATGAAATGGGCCTGCAGAACTTGTATTCTGTATTTACCCCACTCAGAAGACAACAACTTTTACCATAATCGAGCTGCTGCTCAGACCAAAGACAGTGAAGAAAGCAGGACAGCTTGGCCAGCAATCAAGAAGAAAGCTTCCACAATTCAGAGAAGACACTCAAGTCTCACCTTCCTTTGTGGCTAGCAACAATTCAAAAGTTACAAGGTG